ATTAATCTTTTTCTTTTATTCTTTCGTCTTTTTATCAAAATAAGAATCATTTAATTTTATTTAACTTTCAACATCTACTCTTTTCAAGTTCAAATGTTATACACATACATGTTAAAGTTAAAGAACTCAAGAAGATCTTCATATCTCGGTAAAAAAAGAAATTAAAATAATACAAAATAAATTATCATATCTTACACTGCCTTTGATATCGAACGATATTTGTTTGAAACATTTTTTACAGTTTGTAAATAAGTTCAGGTGGCATAATTTCAATTAAATGGTCCACCCTGTATAGCTGTAAATCTTCTTTGATGAACTATTTACAATTGCTTTATCTGTCATAATAATCGTGACGAATGAGGTTTCTAGTAGGTATTTTGAACGTAAATTGGACTTTTGCAGACAATTGCTGTACGTAAGCTTGCAGGGATTATTCGTGGGGATAGACTGGCGTGATGGAAAAAGCATTAATCTTCGCTACTTGGCGTTCTGGATTGCAAAGAATAGGCAAGTTAATATTTAATCTGCTGTTTCTTTTGTAAAGTATCGCAGACGCCGAATATCACACGATTCTTTTCCATAGTTTCTGCGAGTTAAGCTGATAACCACGATTTTGATGATGACTGTATACCCCGTCTCTTGACCTGCCCTACATTCGCTGGTGTAGGGAGGTCTGTCAGGTCGCAGGGATATTTTGACCGACCTTTAAATGTTAGTAAGCAAAAAATGAAACGTAATTTTCCTTTTTCTATTTCCGTTCCATTTTTACTCAGAAAATGTCCTTTTTCGGGATTTCCTTTATTCTATACTACCCACACTAAAATGTGATACAGTTCATACTACTGAAACTAACTGAATAACTGATGATTAACACTGGAACTACCAAAGAGGTCAAAGAGGTCAAAAAGACTTAAGTTAATATTGACTTCTTTTTATTTCAAATAGAATCGTAATTACGTACACTTTCTTATTTCCTTCTCAATGCATCATTTTAATTTAATTAGTATTCTCAGGTGGTTGAAGTAAAAAAGTTGTTGTATCAATAAAGCACGTTTTAAAGTAAAATTTTGATTTGAAATAAACTTTATTTTGTATTCACATTTGTTCAAAGATATAATCTAATGTACATAATCTTTACTGGAATAACGAGTGGAAAATTTGCTGTGAAAATACCTGTCTCACTTGTGATAAATGTATTCCTAATAAATATAATATCAATTGTGTATACTACATTTAGGGACACATTACAGGTTGCTACTTTTAACGTCAATGAAAATAAATAAGTAATAGTATGCTACCAAATTCTATGCAAGGAAAGTAACCAAAGTGCACTTAATTATTAATAATATTAATACTTGAATAAAGCAAAAATAATTACTATTTATTACAGAAATAATATTATAACGTGAATTCGATAAAGGAAGAGGGAAAAATCCTTATTTCATGTGTAAGAAATATTATCTTAGAGGTACTAAAAACTTCTCATTGTTAATAATATAGGTGAGTGTATTATAGAAATATATGCATCTACTTCTATTAGGAAGCTGTTATCAAGAAATCCGAAAAATATTATTTTTTAATTACGAAGTGGTTTATCAACGTGATAAATTGCAAACCGTTCGGTGTCAGTCAGTCAGTCAGTAATGCAAAAACAAAACAAAAAATATGAAAACGATATTGCAGTGGCGTGTCTGCGCGTACAGGAGAGCGTTCAAAATGATTATCCTGTCAGGAGGAAAGAAGATTGACAAGGTACGTTACTGCAGAAATTGCAACGACGGCATCAATGGCTGCAAAATTACTGGAAAGCAACGTCGAGAACAGTATTAGTAAATGGATGGGTCGAAGAGCATTAAAAGAAACTAAATTCACATCAATTGGAAGGTAAAAGAAATCAGCTCTTTGGACGGCTCCTTGATATTTAATAAAAAATATTAAAATCGAGTTATCGACCAATGGTACGAGAAAATTTGACCGAATAATAGTAAAATTGAAAGAATCATTTTTGCAGCCTCATGTTGAACAAATAATGTGCAGTAGAACATCGTTTACACGAACCTCGATTATCTCAACTTTGGTCATTTGAAAATAGGACGAGTTACGTATGTACATATGTCCTTAATTTGGAAATTTGAAACTAACAATGAATTTGAAAATTTAGTCTAGGATGAGGATAACTGTGAGTATTATCGATATTTCATCGATGTGTGGCACGAATAACAACACAAATGAAGATGTGACGAAAAGTAGGGTCTTTAAAGCAGCATCACAGGCCACGATGCAATGCTGAACCCCTCATCTTTATGTATAAGCGCTTATAAAAATAAAAATTTGATAACAGTCGAATGTATACTTCATTTGGAAAATATTTAATTTTGTATCAAATCTTTTACAGTAATATGTGTTATAATTATAGATTAATTCCCCTTTTCGTTTACAGACTAGCTCATGTCTAGGGACACCTAGATTCATGGGGTCTCTAGATTCATGGGGCCCCTAGGTAATCACCAATAGTGCTCGTGTATTAAAATAGTTCTGAAGGATGGCAATACTAGCTTATGTATTTATTATTTTAACACACGACAAAGCTGAAAATACATTTGATGCTGCATCGTAATAAATAAAATATCAAAAAGAAATAGACGTTTCACAGATATTTATGTCAAACTGAATCCGCAACTTGACAGTATCTCAACGGATTTAATTTATTTTTTACATTGCATTTATCTTGGTAAATATACAAGTATATCTTTCCGTAAAAAATGTTCATATTTGAAGATCATTTAATTTTAGTTAATTTATTAAATGATTTATAATTTCATAATAAGAAATTTAATTCTTTTAGTCCGATTACTGGGAGGGATTTATCCTCCAATTAATTCGAATAATTGATATTAACCTATTATATTATTCTATCATAATAAGACATTTTTTTATACAACAGTATTTCCAAACTATAAATATATGAGATCTGTTAAATAATTTTTAATATTCTCCAAAAAATTTCTAAAGTATTATATATATTGTACGTAGAAATGACAGATATTCAGACTCTTTTCTTTCTGTTGGCGCGCGTTGCGAACAATAGCTACTCGCGCGCCACCATATTTTGCCCCGCCGCCATACTTTCCCCCACTACCACCTTGATTTAAATTGACCGTTAGTTTAAAATTAACCAACCAATTCCTACTTCTCTTTCTCAAAAATTACTGAAATAAACCCAACTTTGGCTTCTCGAAAAGTATAAATTAGGAATTAAAGTTAGAATTATTAAATTTATTATTGTATAATACAATATATTATGGTATCGCAGGATAAGTGGGTCGAGCGTATTATCTGGAGTGCGTGCGGAAGGACGAATGACCGTGCGCTAGGATCGCGTGGACGAGATGTTTATGAATGTATCGGATGAAAGTGAAGAATGTCTCTAGGAATGCGTTTGAGTGTTTGGGCTACGTGACCCGCTGAGGGCAAGGCTGCAAGGAGTGCGTGGGAAAAGCATGATTGGGAAAGAGAGAATAGGTATGAAAGAGGATAGAATGTACGGTTTAAATAGGGATACAAGGGCGTGAAGCGGGCAGTATGTTGGTAGAGAATAGGTATGAAAGAGGATAGAATGTACGGTTTAAATAGGGATACAAGGGCGTGAAGCGGACAGTATGTTGGAAGTATGTATGTCAGTTCGCAGTTCGTAGTAGGGTTGTCAGAAGAGAGTTGTGAAGAAAGAAGTTGTTAGTCGTCTAGTTGTGTTTTAGTTGTAACAGTTGTAATTGTGTCGTAATCTTAAGTAGTAGTAGTAATATGTTTGTTATATATTCGTAGCCTAATCGTCACCGCACAGTGTTAATTTAATCCATTGTTATTTGTTATTTAATAAATAGAGGCTATATTATTTTACCACCACCCATGTCTCTACAATGTTGTTTAGCATTATTAGTGCGAGACTGTTGCCATCTATTATCGTAAAATAGTTTCTCTCAACCGCGAATTCTTCCGCATCAATTATTTAACATAAAAACTCGCGATTATGTTTAAATCCGATCAGTTTGCGATTTTCTTTGCTTTAATAACCGTGTAACCGTATAAAAAATCAGCTGCACCACATCCGTTTGACGTGCAGCGAAACGAGAACATCGTCACGTCGTACAATCGTTGCGGTGCAGGTATTGGTACCACTGGGAAACGATGATTTTAAATAGTTCCTCTCCGATACAGATTGTAACGATATTCATGTCACTACCTTTCTGTCACTTAACGAGAGACTTATTATTTTAGGAGAAAGATAAAATTTTGCATCAAAGCGACGTCGTTTCAATAATTACGAAAATTCTTTTTCTTCTTATGAAGTTCATATTACTCGTAATTTTTTTAAAAAAATTATCACGGGCGTATCGTCTTAAATTTATTTTACATAAAATAAAAGACATCGCGAAAAAATATCACGTACGTGTGTACACATTGAAATCCAAGAAGAAATAATAATTTGCTTGGAACGAGGTATTAAAGACGGTATTTTTCCATATTTCGATAGATAGTTTAAACTAAATTAATCGATAGTTATTTATATCTAAAACAATGCATTAACTTATTTTTTCTGAAATTGAGCGAATTTTATTTTTTATTTATTCGTTTTATTCTTTGAACTGTGAATAAATTATATACAAAAAAGTGATAATTTTATTACTATTGATTCTAAATATCAATACTCGTCATTTATTGCTTAGTCTATTACACCTCTATAAATTTTCATAAGAAAAACATAAATTTTGAAGTTAAATAAGTTGCGCAAAAAGACTCATTTATTTATAAGTTTTTTAACGTTATTCATATTGAATTTTCATACAATTCTTATTTATTATGAATGCAATACGAGTCCATTTAATATTTTTTACTTTTTCGGTTCAAATTAAAAAAAAAATTAATAAATGTCTTAATCGAAAGTAATCGTTTAAAATATTAAAATTGTACATTATAAAAATTAATTACAAAATGCATAATACCTGAACGATCTTAGTCATTTCCTGGATATCAATGACGCCATTTCCATCAACATCATACATACGGAAAGCCCATTTCAGTTTTTCTTCTGGCGTCCCGCTAGACGTTACATCGATGGCCAATAAAAATTCCTGTAACAAAAAATTGTCGTTAAATATCGATAATTCGAACGTAATCGGTGATGATAACATTTTAGCATTTTCATAAAATTCAAATAAACGAATTTAATTTTCTCGTTTGCTCAGCAATAGCAATTGATCTTTATAAAATTTTGTGTTTCACGATTGACATCACAAAATATAAAATTATACAGTTGAAATTTGTGATACAAATGATAATAAAATGAATAAAATGGCAATAAAATTATACAGTTGAAATTTGTGATACAAAAGTGGAAGTAGTAACCATTTTTCGTTACTGTTTTCTTGTTACATAAATTCTTTTTAAATCAAGAAAATATGTGGCAGTGAGTTTCTTTACGATTTTTACCTTCCAGCTATAAAATTAGAAATATTAACGCTCGGGTTATTTAACACGTTTCGTGCCACGTGTACCATTTGTGGTACACGTTAAACTTGATTTGCAAGCCACGTGTACCATAAATGGTACACGCAGACATATTGATTTAATGCGTTAAAAATATGTTTTATGACAAATTTAATTCTGTAAAATATATTTCCACTAAAAGAATGAGACATTATACAGAATGCAGTATACAACAAGGCACGTAAATTTGTTTGATATATATAAAATAATTATTAATTATATGTCATAGTTGACTGTTTTAAAGCAAGGGATGCATAAAAATGGTTTATTCGGACAATCGCTGCAAAACGTCACTATTCTTCTAATTCTTTTTACTAATCGAAAATTTTCCAACTGACTGACTTTTACAGTCGAACTGATCGCAGTGCCACGTGTTACATAAATGGTACACGGTGTGATAACTGCTCTAAACAAGCTAATTGCTTATGGATTGATGGTGTAATGACATATTGTGCGATAATATATAAATTTTTAGCCAAAGCAACAAATGGCCTGGAGATCATGTAGGACAAAAACGACTTGGCACAGAACGTGTTAATTTTTCGAACTACTGTTTATTACATATTCTACCTTCTATTTATTTCTATTATCATTTAATCTGTTTAAAAATGCTATAGAACCTTCTTCGTTCCAATTCAAGTGCTCATCTATGCTGACATCGTTGTGCTTTAAAAAGAAGCGTTATTGACAGTTTATTACGAAGTTAACATGTTCCGAGTTTGCACGTGAATAAATAGGAGAAAGGGAAACAACAGTCTTCCTCCCAACTTGTCAAATTCCAGGACAGTCATTAACTGACAGCTGAAGACGTAATTTGGGACGCACGAGAATGTCAGCTACACACGTACTGTGCAGAGCTAAAAAAAAGTTCTCTAGGGGGAATGTGAGTCTAATACGTCATAGAGTAACATACTCAGCTCACCTCGTACAATTATAAATGCAGACGAGTTTTCGTTTTTGGTGGAAAATGTTACATTTATAAATCTGACAAGCATCATTTAACGAAGATAGTGCATGGAATATACTGACATGGGTTAAAATAGAGCAGTAAAGAGTAATGTAAAGTGATAATACTGTAGGATGCTATTTTCACGAAAAGAAATCGCAAATTGGCCAATTCCGATTTGGGATCTTATTTTAGAAAAAGAAATTACAAACCAGTCAAAGCCGATACAAAATCTTATTTTAGAGCAACAAATTGCTCTAGCATCTAGCAATCGATACAGGATCTTATTTTAGAACAACAAATCGAAAATCAACTGATGCCACCTTACGGAAGGCTATCCTTAGAAGCAAAGCTAAGTTACGTGGTCTTTACGGAGGTTGGAAGGTGCGAATGGCGAATCGACAAGATGGCGTAATTTTCATGAACACAAATCGCAAATCGGCAAAGTGACGTAATTTTTACGAGAGCAAATCGCTCGTCGGTTGAATCATATTAGCTAATTAGCGATTGATAAAAGCACGTCATCAAGTTTGGCAAAGGGCATAAGAATAGGACCCTCGACGACACAGGAAGAATCCTGAGTGGAGAAGTTTTGAAGAATCCTCGCGAATATACAATAGTTTGTGACCAGCACGGATGTGAGTCGTTCGATATCGAAGAAAGACAAATAGAGCCGTGTTTCCAGCGTGTTAAAGTTACGTCATTTCGATATTATTTTCTTGCGTTTTATCAGTTTTCGAGTTTGGTATTCGCTTTATTTTGTTCATTTCGTTCCGTTCGTTTTCGTCGTGATATTCCTTCGATAAAAGAAGGAACACATTATTTCTGTAAATTGAAGAAATAAAATTTGTTTTTGGCAATCTACAATACTTAGACATAGTATCAGCGTTAGTCATTAATGTAAGGAGAAAAAATACCAATATAAGTGATTCTATTATTGCACTATGCAGAGTGTTCGTGAAATCATGGTACAGCCGGAAAGGAAGTGATTCTTCGCATAACTCTTTAGGGCACGCTGAGATTAAAAGTGTCCCACCTTTTTGATGCATCGTAATGCATGGTGGGACATTTTTAGTCCCACCTGGAAATACCGCAATAGCTGCATGCGTATAGGTTTATATTTCGTCTTATTTGCGTAAAACAGTTGATAATACCTTCAACAAATGTTATAAATTTTTACATTATGTGATTCCTTTATTAGTAAAAATATACCAATTTTGTTTCATTTAAAACGCAATAAAATTTCTATGCAACATGGGTCTATTTTATTATCCGAAATCCTGTGCCGCGAAGAGATAATACTGATTGTGAGTCCTAAATGTAAAATGAAACTTTTTTCATATAGAAAATTGAGTCTGAAGAAAGTTATTCAAGGGCCTCCGTGAGTTAAGTTCATGCATTCATTCAAAATCATTCGGTATAAATCCATTCGGTGATCCAGATCAGACAGTCCAGTAAACATCAGCACAGGCTCAATTAGAAGCCCCCGATTCGGTATTACATTCAATCAAACATCTGAAGTCTACATCAGGAGACTTGGCTCAGACTTACTCAAGAGTCTTAATTAGAATCTGCAGTGAGTTACTTAGTGAATCGCTTAAGGAACACCAGGTTTCTGTCAGATCTCAAAGGATTAGGTGGTCCTTCGAGAACCTCAGACGATACGCAAATTGCAATATTCATGGCTGCAAAGTAACACGGGCTATCGACCGTGTCTCGTGATTCTCGTATAATAAACGATATAAAAAGTTCGTATTGCAAATTTTTATCTAGTTTGCAAAGAACATGACTGAGTAAGATGATTATCCATTGTTTATTTTATAGATATTCATATAAGCATGCGGAGTGAGTATGTAAAAAGTAAGCATGATTGTGTCTTTTGATAACTATACACGTTGGACGAATGTTTCCCGAAAACATGATAATTTAGAATTATAAAATTTATTTAACTTATGAATATAGCGTTATTTCAGTAAATACATCAGTCTTCTCCTGAAGAATTTCATAGAGCTGTTGCCACCAAGTTCCTTGTTGGTTCATTATCATTATTTACAATAATAAATAAAAAAATAACACCGAAAAACAAAGAAACAAATGTACTTGAGAATCCTAGATAAAGAAAGTACCCTATATAGATGGTGTGCCATTATAATCCTATGCAATTATCTCAAACTACCTGTCATTCGAAAAATGTTTCCATTATAAGCACATCTTCTGATCTTCTGACATGTGGCTCGTATTAGTGTAAGTATCTCTGACATTTCAAGCAAATTTTTCTTTTAATGCTTTTGTAAACGTATTTTCTATAACGTATTAGTTTAATTTATTTTATAAATTCGAAAGGACGACTTTGAGCGTTAATACACTAGTTTATTTCATTCCTGGATGAGAGTTCTATCTTCAAAAAAGTTATTGTAGTAAATTGTTAGCAGGCATCCCTGAGTCCAATCTTCATATTATCAGGGATGATAGGTTTTTCTTGGAAAATTTCATCTCTTGCCCTATACGGAGACTTATAGGACAAAATCTAAAGGTGTCGAATCCTCATGGTAAGAGTATATTCTACATATCGTGATATAATGATGTTTTCTGGCATACGAAGACCCGGATCAAGGATGCTTGCCAACAAATCACTGGAGCCACCTTTAACCCCTTGGCTACTATGGGCGCTTAGAAATTATGCGTTTGTGACACGGAGGACGCCTATGGGTGCTTAGAAATTTTGCGTTTGTGACACATAGGACGCCTATAGGTGCTTAGAAATTTTGCGTTTGTGACACGCAGGGCACCTATGGGCGCTCAGCGTAATTTGGCTTTCTGACACGGAGGGCGCTTGTTTTCACAAAAATGGCGCACACCGTAACTCAATTCCTGCCGTATGGTACGGCCGCTGCGTATCAAAATTTGCCGTAGTCAAGGGGTTAAAGAGATTCGGAACACATGTTAAGCCGCGAAACACTTTCATCGGTATAATTATTCTCACAGGGAAAATACCATATTGTCAACCTCGTAGTCCACGTAAAGCGCGATGGGACATAGAGGTTAGGTCATCATATCCGCTAAGTATATACCTGGGAAACAATTACTTGGATAGCGTTGATATTTCTAATTTTATAGCTGGAAAGTAAAAATCGTAAAGAAACTCACTGCCACATATTTTCTTGATTTAAAAAGAATTTATGTAACAAGAAAACAGTAACGAAAAATGGTTACTACTTCCACTTTTGTATCACAAATTTCAACTGTTTAATTTTATTGCCATTTTATTCACTTTATTATCATTTGTATCACAAATTTCAACTGTATAATTTTATATTTGTAATGTACTTGGGATACAAGGGGAAACAATTCATCTCGCTTTCCGAAAACTGTTTGTAATTTCTGCTCTCACACTTCAAAATCAGTAACTTTCATCAGTTACATTAACCAATAGCAAAATACTAGCCATATCAGGAGTACTTATGAATTCTAGACGTTCGAACATTCTCGAAAGACAAGACAAGACAGGCAACGAATAGTATTGTGCGTTCGAGAAAAGAAGGCACAGTATGTTTACATCCTCACGGTTGATTAACTCTGCTAATATTCCCTTGATCATAGGCAGTGATCGCTATTGGCCGAAAACGGTGACCGATGATA